ACGGGGAGAGTGGGATATCAGACGGGGAGAGTGGGATATCAGACTGGAAGAGTGAGATATCAGATGGGGAGAGTGGGATATCAGACGGGGAGAGTGAGATATCAGACTGGGAGAATGGGATATCAGACAGGGAGAGTGGGATATCAGACTGAGAGAGTGGGATATCAGACAGGGAGAGTGGGATATCAGACGGGGAGAGTGGGATATCAGACTGAGAGAGTGGGATATCAGACGGGGAGAGTGAGATATCAGACTGGGAGAATGGGATATCAGATTGGGGGAGTGGGATATCAGACTGGGAGAATGGGATATCAGACTGGGAGAGTGGGATATCAGATGGGGCAAGTGGATATCAGACTAGGAGACTGGAATATCAGCCCTGGAGAGGGTAATACAGGACTTGGAGGGTGAATTATTGGACCAGGAGAGTGGGATATCAGACCAGGAGAAGGCAATATCAAACAAGCAGAGTGTAATATTGAGAGCACAACATCAGACTTAGAGAATGGAGTGCCAGATGCGGGGAGTGAGGTATTGACAGGGAAAATATATACCTGCTGGGAGAGTATGATAGCCACTAGGATAGTGACATATTGGAACAGGAGTGCAGGATATTGACCATGAGAATGGTATATCAGACTGGGAAAGCCATAAATTGGATTAGGATGGTGGGATTGCAAACAGGGGACACGGTAATGGACTAGGCAAGTCGGGTATCAGACCTGGAGATACTAGACAGGGAGAGTATAGGAACTAACTGGAGGAAGTGGGATATCAGACTGGGTGAGCGCTATATTAAATAATGGATTCAGGGAAGGGCTACATTGGATAGGGAGAGTGTGATATTGTACTGGGTGCGTGGGATAATGCACAAGGATAATGGGATCCACGTGGAGTGTGTCATATAGGACTGGGGATATATGACTGGGTAAGTGTGATAAGGATGGGGAGAGTGGACTAGGGAATATGCATAATCACACCAAAAGCCTGGGACAGTGGAATGGAGCAGTGTGATATTGCACTGGTATTGTCAGATAATCAACCTGGTGAGTTTGATATTGGACTGGGAGAATGGAAATTGAAGAGCTCAACATTGGACCAAGACAGTGGGATATTGGATCAACTATGTGCAATATCAGAACAGGAGTGTGGAATTGCACCCCTGGAGAGTGTGGTATTGAACAGGGAGAATGGCATGATGGGCTGGGAGTGTGCAATATTGCACAAGGAGAGGGGGAAATTGAACCTGAAAAGTGTGATATTTTACAAATACAATACCAGATTGGGGGGGTTGGGGTGGGGGGTGGTGGAAGTGGGCTATCAGATTGGGAGAATTGTATATAGATCAGGTGCTAAACAATGTGTATGGCATGCCTGCATTTATTGGTCAGGGAACGGAGTACAAGAATCAGGATGTCATGTTGCAGCTTTATAAGAGTTTGTTTCAGCCACACTTAGAGTATTGTGTTCATCTCTGAGCACCACATGACTGGAAGGATGTGGAAGCTTTGGAGAAGGTGCTGAAGAAGTTTACCAGGACGCTGCCTGCATTAGAGGCTATGAGCCATAAGGAGAGGCGAGAAAATCTCAGGTTGTTTTCTCTGGAGTGGCGCAGGCTGAGGGGAGATTTGATAGAAGTCTATAAAATTATGAGATGCATAGATAGGGTTGACAGTCAGAATCTTTTTCCCAAAGTTGAAATGTCTAATACTAGGGGCATGCATCTAAGGTGAGAGGGGGAAAGTTCAAAGGAAATGTGAGGGGCACGTTCTTTTAGACAGAGAGTGGTAGGAGTGTGGAACGCAGTGCCAGGGGTGGGGGTGGAGGCAGATACAATAGGGACGTTTAAGGAACTTTTAGATAAGCTCATGGATAAGCAAGGAATGGAGGGATATGGACCAGGGGCAGGCAGAAGGGATTAGTTTACTTTGGCGTCGTGTTCGGCACAACATCGTGGGCCAAAGGGCCTGTTCCTGTTCCTGTGCTGTACTGTTCTGTGTTCTCTATTGGACTGTGAGAATGCAATATTGGACCAATGGAGTAGGACAGTGGATAGGGAAGTGCTGATATATAGACTTGGTGCATGGAATACTGCTCTGGGAGAGTTTGATATCAGACAACGAAAATGAGATATCGGGCTGGAAGAGTCTGATGTTGAATATAAGATGTGTAAGAGTGTGTTCCTGGACTTGGGGAGTGGGATATCGGACCGGGAGAGTGCAATATTGGGCTGGTACAGTAGGGTAATGGACTAGGGCATTGTGACTCAGGGACAGGACCTGGACAGTGTGATATCGAATTAGAAGAGTAGGATATTGGACTGGGTTAGGGCAAGAGCAGACTTGGGGAGTGGGATATCAGATATGGGAGGCAGTTGTGGGCTATCAGGCTAGGGGTTATTGAACTGGGAGAAGACATTATTGGACACACAGATTAGAGGGATGAGAAAGTGTGCTATTGACTAGGATAGGGGAATATTGACCATGGGAGTGACATCTTGGACTAGGGGAGTGAATATCATTCTGCGTGAGTGTGACATTGGATTGGGATTATGGTATAGCTGACCAGGAAGGTGGGATATCGGATCAGGAGAGTTGGGTATTGGAACTGGAGAGAGTGATATTGGACTTAAAACATATTGACCGGGGGAGTTGAATAATCCCGCATGGTATATGGATAGAAAAATTAACAGGGCATGGGATCCAAGGAAATGGAATCCACAATTGGTTGAGTGGCAGGAAGCAGAAGATGATGGTTGAGTAATGTCTTTAGACTAGAAATTTATTGAGTGGGGTCCCCCCTTTTCCCTCACTGTTTGTGGTTTATATAAGTGATTTAGACCTGAATGCAGGAGGCTTGATCAGTAGGTTTGCACATGATACAAGAATTGGTGATAACAAGGTGTAGAGCTGGATGAACATAGCAGGCGAAGCAGCATTAGAGGAGCAGGAAAGCTGACGTTTCGGGCCTAGACCCTTCTTCAGAAATGTATTGTGGTAAGCAGTGGGGAGGACAGCCTTTGATAACAGGAGTATATAGACGGACTGGTCAGATGGGTAAATCAATGGCAAATGGAATTCAATCTAGATAAATGTGGGGGGGATGTACTTGGGCAGGACCAACAAAACAGGGGAATACATGATGGCCAGCAGGAAACCTGGAAACTTGGTGTGCATGTCCATTGGTTCCTTAAGGTATCAGGACAGGTGGATAAAGTAAGTGGTGAAGAAGGCATTATGGGACACGCCTTTACTGGCTGAGGCACAGAGTTTGAGAGCAGG